CCTCCAACCAGCCAAGACGTATTATTCATTGTCCCTACACCTTACATGGCGCAGTCGGTAGTCGGCAAATTAAAACAAATTAAGAAAGTGACTACGATCTACAATAATTAAGAGGTGCGAAGTAACAGGAGAACGATGAAAATGAGCGATCACAGAGGTATCTCGCCGATGAGCATGACGGGCAACATCGCCGAGAACTGGAAGACATGGCGGTCCCGGTTCGAGAATTATCTCGTGGCTACGGAAATTAATAAGAGAGAGGAGGCGACACAGTGTGCTCAATTACTGCACTATATTGGTGAAGAAGGCTTCAGGATATATACAACCTTCACGTTCTCGGAGGCGGAGAGAAACAAAATTGCTGTACTGTTCGAGAAATTCGAAGCACATTTCCTGCCGAAGGAGAATTTACCCTATGAGAGATACAAATTCTTCTCTTATAGACAACAGCCTGGTCAGACGTTAGAACAGTTCATCACGGAACTGAAACAAAGGGCCATGAAGTGTAAACTGGGTGAATTACATGACAGTCTCGTCAAAACAATGATAATTTGTGGAGTTAGTAATTCCACAATCCGTGAACAGTTGCTGCAAAAAGACGAGTTAACTCTCGATAAGGCCATCGAGCAGTGCATAATCATCGAGATGTCGAAAGCGAGAAGCGACGCCATTGAGGGAGTGAAAACCAACGGAAACAGCGTGGACGCCATTAACCGGCGGAGAAATCTGCATAGCAACCAGCATGGCGGGACGACCTCGGGCGGTAAACAAGGTCAACGAGCTACCACAAGTACCGGCGGTGGAAATGTCAAGCAAACCAAAACAATAATAGACTGTACGAAATGCGGAAGGTCTCATGCGATCAATAAATGCCCGGCGTATGGAAAAATATGTAACACGTGCCAAATTAAAAATCACTTCGCGAGTCAATGTTTTAAAAATAAAAATAAGGTAAATAAGGCGGAAAATAAAGTGCATGAAGTAGGAGAAGTAGGTAATCCGGAAGATTACATGTTTATCGGCTCAATAGATGTCGATGCGGTAGATTCGAAAGGTACAAATAAGATTCCGACAGGTGAATGGACAACTAACGTTAAAATTAGAGGCAAGGAGGTAAACTTTAAAATGGACACGGGATCTCGAGTAAATACTTTGCCATTAAAGACGTATAACAGGTTAGGATTTCCAAAAAGCGTTTTGAAAAGAACTAATGTAGTATTGTCGGCGTATACAGGTGATTTGCTTAGAATAGTGGGAGATTGTACCATACCATGCGTAATTGGCAAAAAGAGTTATAACCTTCAGTTTTTTGTGATAGATACAGATAAGAAACCACTGTTGGGATTATTGACTTTAATTAAATTAAACTTAGTACAGAAAATAGATGAGGTCGAGTCAATAGATATAAATTATAATAAATTAATTAACGATAACAAAGAGCTGTTTGTAGGTATCGGTTGCTTAAAGGAACCATATCGCATTGAACTGAAGGAAGATGCAACACCTGTAGTACATCCTGCGAGGAAAGTGCCAGTGCACATTAAAGATAAATTAAAAGAAAGTCTGGATGCTCTTGAAAAACAGGGTATTATTGAAAAAGTCGATTATAGCACGGATTGGGTAAATAGTCTTGTCATTGTCAGAAAGCCTAACGGGAAATTACGAATCTGTTTAGATCCACAAGATTTAAACAAGGCAATCAAACGCGAACACTGTCAAATTCCTACTCTTGAACAGATTACTGCTGAATTAAATGGGGCTAAGTATTTTAGTACGCTAGATGCGACGAATGGGTTTTACCAAGTACAATTAGATAAAGAAAGCTCAGATCTGTGCACATTCGCAACACCTTTCGGGAGATATAAATTCTTAAGGATGCCATATGGCATATGCTCAGCACCCGAAGTATTTCAGGAAAAATTTAAATCAATCTTTGACACAGAGGGTTCAAAAGTGTATATTGATGACGTAATTGTTTGGGGTAAGACTAAAGAAGAACATGATAGAAGACTGGTAAAAGTTTTACAGTTAGCGAAAGAAAATAATGTTAAGTTTAATCTAAGTAAATGTAAATTCGGAAGAACAAAAATCGAATATATGGGTCATATAATTACTGACAAGGGCATGTATCCAAATGAAAATAAAATCCGCGCTATAATGGAGTTTCAACAACCAGAAAATAAGAATGATGTTCAGAGATTGTTAGGTATGTTGACCTATGTAAGCAAGTTTGTAAAAGAATTTTCGGATAAAACTGCTCCGTTAAGAAATTTAATCAAAGATAACGTAGAATTTATATGGTTAGACGAGCATACCCGAGCGTTAGACGAAATTAAAAAGATTCTGTGTAAGCAACCAGTCTTACAGTTTTTCGACGCAAGTAAGGAGACCGTTGTCTCAGTAGACGCATCAAAATCAGGGCTGGGGGCTGTCTTAATGCAAAATAAATTACCATGTGCATATGCTTCCAAAGCATTGACGGAAACGCAAACTAGGTATGCGCAAATAGAAAAAGAATTGCTTGCAATCTGTTTCGGATTAACTAAATTTAATGAGTATGTATACGGGAAAAGGGTAATAGTTGAGACAGACCACCAACCCCTGGTTTCGATATTTAAAAAACCCTTGAATAAATGTCCTGCTCGTTTACAGAGAATGAGACTGCAGTTGCAGAAATATGATATTGATTTAAGATATAGACCTGGTAAAGAATTAATACTAGCGGATGCATTGTCAAGAGCGTACGTTAAAGAGCACAACGCAGCGGAATGGGAAGAAGACATTGATGCTCAAGTCTGTTTAATAACTTGTCAGATAAATGCGACACCTCAGAAAATGAAAGAGTTAGTAGTAGAGACAAATAAAGATGAGGAATTGATTGAGCTTAAGAAAGTTATTCTATCGGGATGGCCAAAGAATGAAAAAAAATTATCGGATAGCGTGAAAAGTTACAATCAATACAAAGATGAATTAACGATAGTGAGCGATTTAGTTTTTAAAGGTCAAAGCGTTGTAATTCCGAATAGCATGCGTAGCGAAATGTTAAACAGAGTTCATTATAGTCACTTAGGTGTAAACAAATGTCTCTCAATAGCCCAAGAGTCAATATTTTGGCCTGGAATGATAAATCAAATTAAACAAAAGATCGCTGAATGCCCATTATGTCTAAAGTACGCGAAATCACAGAACAGAGAACCGCTAAAATCTCACGAGATACCGAATTTACCGTGGAATAAGATAGGCTGTGATATTTTCGAACTAAAAGGTAAAAAATACTTATTGTTAATAGATTATTTTTCTAAATATCCGGAAGTCGCAGAACTTGAAAGCATGACTAGTAACACTATAATTAAAAAGATGAAATCGATATTTGCGAGACACGGCATACCGCGGACGGTGATATCTGACGGAGGGACTCAGTTCACTTCAAAAGAGTTTGAACAATTTACAAAAGAATACGAGTTTGATCACATACCATCGTCCCCGACGTATGCACAATCAAATGGAATGTCCGAAAGGAACATACAAACTGTAAAAAGCATGTTTAAGAAAGCTTTAGAAGAGAAATCGGATCTAGACCTTGCGTTATTACATTATAGGAACACGCCAATTCTTGGCAACGTTTCACCAGCGGAAGCGCTAATGTCTAGGAAACTCCGATCTAAATTACCGTATACTAACAAGATGTTAAAACCTAAAGTTGCGACAAAACAAATGGCAGAAACTGTAGCAAAACTACAAAAAAGCGAACAAAAATATTATAATGCGAGAAACGCAAAGGAGTTACCGCAGATACCAGATAATTCCTTTGTATATGTACAACGCAGTCCAAGGTCTGACTGGTATCCTGCTACAATTTTGTGTCAAATAAGAGATAGATCATATAAAGTTAAGCTTCAAAATGGCTCGATACTAGTTAGAAATAGAAGGTTTATAAAACTTGTTAAATCTCCAATTGTATTGAAAAACGCGGCCAAGGAAACAAAAGTTCTTGGAAAAAAGGAGAAAAGGGTAGAACCAAAGATTTATATTGAAATAGTAGATAACGAGGTTGAACCGGATCCAGTTGTAAACGACGAGGTTGAACCTCCTGGTAACAGAAGTTCCTCAAACTCTGATGAGTTCGAAGATGCTAGAATGGAGTCAGAGAGTACAGGATCAGATTCTGAGGTTGAATCAGTAAATCAAACAGTAAGAACTGCGTCCGGCAGAATAAGCAAACCACCTCAGAGACTGAACCTGTAGATTAAGGCATTTAAGATTATATTTGCGTTTTATATTTCCTTTATGATTATAATTGCGTTCTATGTTCCTTTATATTAATTTATGTTTAATCCTAAAAAGGGGAGATGTAAGGTAGATAGCACTTAGTGCATCAACTCTATAATAGAGGACGC